GTCATGAGGGCACGCACGCGGATATATATATACACGCACGTCAAATCCGAATGGAGGGATCACGCCGCGGCAGGGGCCACCACAACGCGCACACATAAATATGCACTCGCTCGGTGTAGGCGCTCATCGAGGTTCTGGCGAGCTCCGTCCCCACTCCGTTCACTCCTTCTCGTTCCCGTCCTGTGCGGCTCCTGCTGGCAACCGCGAGGTCCGGTCAGCGGCTCGGCAGCGTGCTCTTGCTTAAGGTGTTCGCGCGAAATAAAACCATGGGCCTTTGCGGGAGTCGAACCCGCGTCCCGGATGACATTGCGAGCGTGTTTGCCACCGGGCTAAAAAAATGCGGTCGCGCGACCCCTTTCCACGTAAGGTGTTGCTTTTGATCTTCGAACAATCGAGCGCATTTGCGCTGTCCCCTGGAAAACGAAAGCGACATGTTCAGGGCGTGTCGGGCGCGTTCCGGGGCTTTCTTGCACCGAACTCGCCTCACTTGCGTTTTCGCGGGTTGGGGGGCGCGGTCGGACAGCACAACGGGGGGATTGCCCGAGGAGTAATCTTCCGTCGCTTTCGGATTGTGGCCGTGCGCTGCGGGAAGATAGTTCAGTGGCAGAACATCAGATTGTGGCTCTGAATACCCGGGTTCGATTCCCGGTCTTCCCTTACTTTTTCGGAGTTTTTCCCCGAGGCGAAACCGCGTCATATTATGCACATTGGGCGGCCCCGCGATCCTCGAGAAAGGAGCCGCGGGCGGTGTGCGCCTCTTTTCGCCCGTGGTCTTTCGTCCCGCGGGTTTTCTTCTTTCCTCGCTTTTTCTTATGCAAACGTGCCCTGGCAATCGTCGTGGGTTTCGCTTCTCGGGCCCCATTCCTTCCTATTGAAAATGAAAACGCGCCGCCGCGAGGGTTTTCGCGATGGCGAACCCTTTTGTACCCGCAAAAAAAAAAAAAAAAAAAAAAAAAAAAGAGAAACAGCAGCGACTGCAAAAGAAAGAGCGGAGCAAACCTTCTCGCCACCCAAGAAAGGCAAGAACAACAAACAACGTCCCAACCTCGACAAAATGCGTTTTTCCTCTTCACTTCAGACCCTTCGATCGGGGGGAAAGGTGCGCCATAGGAATCACTCCTTTTTTAAGTTTATGGCAACATTTTCATAATTTATTTAAAAATAACTCCGGCACCGGAAGGAATTCGAGGGGGATTGTCCTTCTTGGTGAACCGTCATTCGCTGGGAAATTAAAAATTAGAAAAAAAAAAAAAAGGAGAGAGAGAGAAAGATGCTAAAAAGCACCTTTTCCACGCCTCCCGTTTCGAGGGGAGAGGCGTGTTGGTCCAAAGCGCTCGCATTCTAAAAAGAAAATACCACGATGGTACATTGGGGAGAAAAATATATTGGGCACTCTTCACAAACGAATATAAAACCAGGTGATTCATTCAGCTCGAGTTCGAAAAACAAAACAAAGCAAACAAAATAAAACACGCGCACTGCGGAACCGCTTGTTATTAATAATAATAATAATAATATAGGAAAGAAAAAAGAAAAGTGAGAAGCACACACACACAAAAAAAAAAAAAAAAAAAAAAAAAGACCTAAATATTTCTACAAACACGCATAGACTACTTTCTCGTGAGATACATCTGGTGAGACAATTATTTACTTGTTTATCTGCCTGTTTTTATTGGGGTTCTGTTCATCGGATCGTCCAATTGAGTTGGTCGTATTCCTGATCAGTTCGTTCCCATTTTTTTTTTTTTGCTTCATCCCAATTACTCAGCGCTTTGCATAAATGCAGCAGGTGCAACAGGCGACAACAGCAAATGTGATGAGCATCAGCGCACCCACCACAGATCCCATGAAAATCATGCTCCAAAAAATGATTGTGGGTCCCCTGTCACTTTTTCCATTTTCGGGCACATAGACACTTACGAGGACTGCCTTCCCAGGTCCAGGATACAATGCCAGTACTGCCTGAAAGTTTGATCGAGTGATCATGGAGTTCACCTCCTCTGGCCCCCAAACATCCTGAAGATCCGGGGTGGGAGCGGTACGCAGCACACAAAAATTAAGAAAAACATGTGAGCAGCCTCCCAATGGGGGACCGCAGGCCCTGGCGCTGCAAATAAGGCCAGCAACAGGGAGCCACGTGTGCAGTGAGAAGCACGAGAGTTGCACTGCAACGGCACGGCTGCGTGACAACCCGTTGGGAGCATCGATGCAGACCAGCACGTCACGTGCAAGAAGAGTTGCTTCTCCCGCTCAAGAAAGAAGAAAAACAGCCTCAGCGTCCCAATAACGAGAGGTCGTCTGCACCTCCTCGCAGCACCTGCAAGCTCTGCAGGCACAATGACGCAGATGACGCTCTCCTGCACGCATGGCGGCCGCTGCATCCTTAACAACGGCAACCGCATCCTGTGGCACCACACATCGCAGCGGGTGCGCACAGTCTCCGTCTCCCTCCTGTCCCTCTCCCTGAGAACTCATCGGCGGCCGTGGCACACTCACCGGCATGTCAGAAAGCAATTGTGTTTCTTCCTCCCTCGCACATCGCACAGCAGCACCGCCAAACGCATGTCGCTCCTCCTTTCACAGATTCTCCTCAGACACGCCTCCCGCCACATTCATCAGCTCACAGGCACGCAGTCCGTAAACGTCACGCTGCTGCCCCGCATGACGGTGCCGCACACACACCAACACGGCGCCCCGCCACTCGGCGCAAGCAGCGTCTGGACACACAAAACAGGTTGCCCCAGCGAACAACAGCCCCCTCCAAGCAGTGAGACAGGACTCGTCAGTAACAATCAAACAATCAGCCCCTCGTCTCTTCATTCCGCCATGCACGAGGTTCTGCTTGCCCCGTGCATCATACGTGACGCCCGGACCCTCAATCAGCAGACAAGGCAGTATGCGTCCCTCCGCTCATTGAGAAACCCTCTGAACATTCTCAGCCAGTCGTCGCCATGGGCCATGCATGAGGAGCACCACGGCAAGAATGCACAGGAGCTTATATGCAAAACCCTCAACTCATTCCGCGTCAATGAAGAGTGTGGCACCAGACATGCGTTTCACAACAATGTCGACTTGTTCTTCTCTGAGAGGCCTCCCATACACATCGCACGTGATCACAATAAAGAAAAAGTAACGCCTCCAGTCTGACCGTAATTCCGCGGCGGAGGCCAAGGCACAATCCAACAAAATGCCGCAAATCATCATATATGCCACACAGACCATCGGCGGCTCATGAGGCAAATGCACAGCACGGAAGAAGGGTCATGCTCACAAACACGCAACGCACAGAAACCGAGAGAGTTGGGGGAGGCAACACCAGAGCAGCCTCATTCAACCACCGACAGAGGAGCTCGTGGGCGCTGCAGCCAAAGCCATTCTCTGTGAATGCAAATGATAATAACACCAAACAACGTGAAGCGCCGGTCGGGCACCACATATGGGCCACAGACACCACCCACCCGTCCATTCACTCTTCCTCCTCCCAATGGCGTGGCCCTCCTTCACCTCCACGGACACGTTTGCTGCTCAGTCATGCGAGCCTCTGACGCAAGCACTCAAGTGGCGTTTCGGCAATCCAAAATTCAGCACCTCCGAATGGCAGTGGAAATGCTCGCAGAGGCCACACGGCTCCTCAACGCAGCCTCAAGCCCTCCTCAGGACTTTAATGCGATGGAGAGGAATACAGGCGGCTCTCGTGTCACAGAAGGCGGCCAATGGGAGCGCTGTCCACATGCAGAAAATGCCGAGGCGTGAAACAGAGAAGGGAGGAGGCTCGCAGAGGGTGCCACCTGCCACGCCTGACGTGTGTCGTCTCATTCGTGCGATGGAGAAGTAATGAGACGGTTGTTGCGGTGCCTGCCCGTGCGTGCGTCTCACAGTCGGGCCAATGAACATCCTGCCGAGGGCATGCAGCTGGCCGCGCAAGCAATCCCGAGTCTCGCCAACGTTACCGCGGCCGCTCTTTTGGCGAGGCGTCGCTCTCCTTCTTCCTTGTCTCCCGTGCGCCATCCTCGTATGGAGGAAAACGCCCTCCACAATTGGTGTCATCAATTACCTCCAAATAATGAAAAGGATTCCCGGCCTCGAGAAAAAGCCCCCAAAGTGGCAGTCAACGTGAGCCAAACAATGCGTGTGGCCTTCCGCAACCGCGTGCATTGCAACCCCCTCAGCTGCCCGGTGCTTCTTCCTTCTTTGTGGACCCAAACCGCATAGTACACTTGGACTTGCTCGGATCCTCCACAGGCTCATGTAACCGTGTCCGTCCCGCCCGTGCGGCTATTGGGTTGCACCACGTCACCGCTCACTGCTGCGCCACCAAATAACGTGAAATAGGGATCCAAAACACCACATCCGTGAGGCGAAAACGCATGCATAACTCCAACGAGTTCCCACTGCGAGAAATCACACGGTGGCACGCACACTCTCGCTCTCCCATCAACAATTTGCCGTCAACAACCACAACGGCATTAAGAAGCAGGCTCGGGGCAATCCCTGATAGTCGTCCCCACCCCGGCGAGCGGCCGACTCTGGGAACCCGGCACTCTGGTGCCGTTCCGGGAGGGACTCCTGCCACCGCCAACCGTGTTTCCCTGTCGCGTTGACACACGGAGCTTTCTTCGCAAAACGACGCGCTCCATTTTAGAACGTGCCTATGAGAGCGCAGGCAACAGGCGCAGGGCGCACCATCGCATTGTCCCGTCACAAAATAAAAAGAGAGCATCCGTGCCAATTTGCCGCAGCACCCACGGATGTGCTTCTGCTGCCTTCTCTCGTGTTTTCCCAAATAAATCCTATGGTCCGCACTGCAATACCACGTGTCCTCACAACTCTTGGTGCCACGGCTGTGCCCCAGCACAAAGCAGCTGGTTCGGGCGCCGGTCGATGCCGCCAGCCCTGCGCAAACAACAAACATCTCATGAGGGAAACATTGCTGGCGCCTGGCCTCCCCGACAATACAGGGGATTGGCCCTGCGCCACGATGTGGCAGTCAAGCACGGAATCGCAAGGCGAAGCAATGATGGCACCGGCACGAAAAAGCCGTCCCGCCCTCAATGGGATGCGGCGCCTCACTCCATGCGGTTACACGGACTGCACTGTTTCCTCAATAGAAGTTGTCCGTCGTCCATCCCTCAAAGATGCTTCTGTTGATGATGGGTCCTAAAAAAAAATAATAGAAGGAAATGAACAATGCAGCAATACTGCGATGCCGCCGGCCACGACGATTCTCCCACAAGGGAGCAATTCTCCGATTATGCCTCGTATGCACACACAAGCATTCACATGTATGAAACAACCCCTAACGTTTTTTAACAAAAATAAAACCGCCCCTTTCCCTTACAATTTCCTCTTCTGTCACTGATATGTCCGATAGCGTTGGACATCTTCGGCATCTGTGTGCGATACTGTCGTCTGGTGCTGCTGCACCCGCACCGTATGCGCGCACAAAAGTATTCAAAGAGGTGAAACAGCCCCTGATCCCTATTTCACCAGAAATCAAACTGTGCCCGTTCATTCCCCAATTCTTTTTTTCATTTCTTTGTTTATTTCTCACTTCGGAGGGATTTGTCCCCTCAAAAGTCTCCGGATGATATTGACACTTGGTACTGGCGCACCTTTTCCTTCCAAAACGCCGCAATTTTTTGTTTTTCCTTCTCGCTCACATTATCGGAATTAACAACATCACATCTCTGCCAGTCATTCAACGGCGTGCTGTCTGCGTGCTGCACGTAAATAATCTCCCACGACATGTCTCGGGATAACTCCTCCCAACCATTAAAATATGCCGCCAGGCACTCAGTGAACTGCCTCACAGTGCTGGCGGTGGTGTGGTGCTCACCCGCCGTAGCCATCCGCAGCCCAACCAGCGTCCTTGGATTTGAGTCCATGAAGAAAAAGCCGTCCACCAGCGGAAATTTCTCGACCTCCGGCATGTACAGCAGCCGGTGGTTTATACAAGTCTTCTTGTCAATGCGTTCCACCGACGGCAAAAAATAGTGGCTGGTGGGGCCCTCCCCCGAGTACAATTCCGGCGCACAGCGGTGTGACTGACGTCGTGTTGGTGGCTTCAGCTCCTTCAGTTTACGTCTTATTGCAGCCATGAAGGCCACATTCAAAAATGCAAACATGGCACACCTCCCAAAATTTGCGTGCATGAGATAATCCCTGATCCTCGATACAAATAAGTTAAACTCAGCCTGCGTCATTAACGTTTTCAACTTGCACAATGTTTTACTTGCGAGGTGGTCAGTTATCGGTGCATTGAAAGGCGACTCGCCATTGCGCTCTCCTCGTACTCGGACAATCCTCGCAAGATATTCAAGCGCCTTATTACCCTCCCACAGTTTGGAAGTTCCGAAAACAAAGTAACGCTGGATTTCCCGAGAGGTCGTCCCATCCACAAAGCTGTGGCAACGGCCAATCCAATTTGTATGATATCTCTCATCAAAGATGTAGCGAGGAATCGGTCCCAGTTTGTGCATGCGACCCTTCACCTCTCGCCAGTATTCCGCTTGCTGCTGCGGAGGCTGACTGCGCTTCATCCAAACGCACATTGCCTTCACATCGCTCTCATCAGGGCAATTCATTATGATTCGTACGGCTCTCTTTTCACTCGCCCAGTTTATGTAACTTGCTTTCTCTGGCGTTGCCACCACAAGCATGCCCCATCCTCCGGGAGGCAAAAAAGGAGACGGAATACTAAGCCTGCCTCCCACGTCGTAGATAATATACCCCTTCATCCCGCGCCGAGAAAGTTCCTTCATAACTTTGATACTGGACTCATCGATGTATCCTTTCACCGTCTTGATGGTCTTGTCAAACACGTACGTCGTGCTTCCACCAACAAAGTACGCAACCATTTGGAGTTTCTCGACATCGTAGTCCAGCAGCTGGTAGAGGAGGTACGAGCCGGCAGCCACCGACTTCCCGATACCGGGCGTCCCAATCAACACACGCGGATGAGGCGCAAAGTGGTCCTCAGGACGACTGCTGAACCACTCGGTGAGATCGCCCTTGACGATCTGCCACACTCGATCCACCTCACAGTTCACATAGCAGTCGGTACTTGCTTCCCTGCACGGGTGCGGCCATCCATTGTCCGAGGTGAGCACCATCAGCCTGAGGCGTGGTGCACCGGATTGCTCCACACCGTCATCCTTTTCGACAGTTCGGCCAACTGCCTTGTACGTCCATGACTGCGGTGGTTTCCCCTCATGCACCTCCATTCCCGTCCCCTCGCCGCCAGGAACCTCCATGACATGATGCCACCTCGCATTGTACACAGACTCGTAGTCTTCCCACACCGTGCATTCTTCCACTCGACTGTCAAGAGCCCACATTAATTGCCGCACCTCCTCCACTCTTCCGCGAATCGCAGCGGGTTGATCTGTGTTACCCTCAGACTCCGGCCTCGCTCTCCTCCAAATATCTCCCTGCGGCACAGCAGACGCCTGATTTCCAGGCATTGCTTCCTGTTTTTTTAGTTGGATTGAGTTAAAGCTGAACACTAACCACCAAACAGGAGGAGAATAAGAGAGAGATGGGGTAACTAGGCACAGACATGACGGGCAGCCACAACAAGAGAGTCATCCACACAGTGTGCGACGCACACCACATGCACGAATACCGCCGCAACGACGGCGCGCGGGTGCCAACCACCCAGCACAGTGTTGGTGAGAGCCAACAATAATAACAACGTGGTGTGCACGGAGGGTTCGCCCACGCATCCCGCTCGCCACGGTCCCGCACCCCTGTGGCACCGCCGACACCGCACACACTCTGCAAGAGGACGTGGGCATATCGTCACTGAAAAACGAAAACATACACACAAAGGTGGGAAGAGAATTCGGTGCAGCCACGGCCACACGCAGACAACCCAAATCACACACGCCACAGAAGCGATGCATCATGGCAAGTTCCAACACAACAGAAAGGAGTGCAATTACATGCCTTATGAAAAATCCCCGCAATTCGCGCGGCAAAAAAGAGCCATGACACTCCCCTTCTTACTGCATTCGCCATTCACATTCCCAATGCGTAACCCTGCAGATACCACCCCTCCATCGTGAAAGCAACTGCCTCGTTGTGGTGTCATCGCGCAGCCATCCGCCTGAGTAAGAACAAAAGGAAACTCAGGCGTCCGTCCACCTGGAGGGAGGAATGTCTCCACCACAGTGTTCTTCATGACGCAAACACCCCACATCCAGTGCCCGGTGTCGTGTGCAGACTCTGCGAGGAGGTTGTGGGCACGCCACTGTGCCACATGGTGTGCCTCCTCGGAACGCAACAGCAGACGTGTTCCCCTCCGCTCTCACTCGTGGCGGTGCGGCATCCGCTGCCTCGCTGCGTGCTGGTGGCGTCGAATACGACGCTGCATAGTGAGAGGGTGCCCGACAGGAGCGGTGCTGGGCTGGGTGGGCAATGCCCTCCGCGGCGAGACGCCCAGCGCGACTCCTGACCGCTGCGCTCACGCACCTCCTTCCGCTCCTCCCCTCTCCCTCCATCCGGCAATCGCACAGCCGCCAGCACATTGGCCCCGAAGCAACACACAAGTGAAGGCGTGGCAGCATATTTCCCGAGAGAACAGAGTGACGGCCACACGCTGCAGCCATCGTGCCTAC